ATCTGAAGCGCTGAAAACTGTTTAAAACATTCATAAGTATAGAAAGGTATAGAAATGTATGAAATGGACCGAAAACATTTATAACACTTTTCATGATCAAAGACAAGGTTAAGTAAGAAGCAGACGAAATCCAACTCTCTTCCATAATAAATGAGGTCAAAGTAGCTGAAGACAATGATGGCAGTATCACCATGATTAGTCTGGAAGAAAATGTTTGTCTTTATAGATATCGATAAATCATCTGCAACCCATTTCTCTGAATTATTGTAAAGCACCCACAATGGAGCGTTAACATGAGATATTGAACTGATTTATGAACGTCCGTGGGCAGGCAATTAGTACGAATACTCAACGATTTACTTTTACTAGCGAGTGGCTATATTATACCTAATTGTTATCGCATTCATATGATCTACTTTTAGAATTTTGGCTCCAACACATTTACCAACCATCTTCCTACCTGAAATACACATTGTAGTGAAAAATGCTGTATAATAGATGGTAAACCTACACATCTTGTATACGAGTACCATTTTCTTTCAAATGCTTAAAATTTGCTGCAGTTCAAGACATGTTCTGAAGAGTGAATGACGTGTTACAGCATGTGTAACTCACGAGTCTTGCGATACATATTGGGAGTCACGAGTTACTGAGTAACGGGCAATCAATTAAAGAGTAAAATATATCTAAAATTTCGATGAAATAATAAATTGGCGTATGGGACAATGATAAAAGTTAATAAACCATACCTTGTAATAGCTGATTTTACTTCTGGTGTTAATATAATAATATATAGTGATCTTGATATGGAATTTTGCATTTTGGATCACTCCATGCATTGGTGATCTCACAGCCTCTCACTCTAAATCCATCAAGGCATGAACTTGTGTCGAATGTATTCGTGGATATACTCCGAATGTGCACTCGATGTTGTGAACTCAAGCACAATAAATGATTGTAACCGTATGGACAAACGTGTGGATCGACTACGATACTTAACTACTACAGCTTGTAGCTGAAGACCTAGATTTCATGGTGAACTTTGAATGACGGAATGTAGACCAATGTACGTGAAGTGCAATTGATAATTAATAATTATAACTTGCTGCTGCAACGCAAACGCTGGTTTCATAGTGAAATATTCGTGAGTTGACGTGAGTTGATGGAGTGAATATTACTTCTAAAACTGAAGTTCAGAAGCGGACGTTATTATCAAATATAGTTTGCAAAATTAGAAAGGAAAAAAGTGTATTTCAGAATTTCATTTGTGTTTGTAATATATAATTTATAAAAACTTGGTATTATCTATACTTTAGGCAATATAAAACATAATCGGTTGTAGTTACAGTTACAGTTGCAGTCTGAGTTACAGTTACAGCTACAGCTACAGTTACAGCTACAGTTACAGCTACAGTAGATACAGCTACAGCTACAGTAGATACAGCTACAGCAGTTGTAGTAGCAGCAGTTAACTGTAACAGATTTGAAACCAACGGTGTTTTCATAGTATTCACCCATGAACTGGAATTCAATCAACATTGCAGTAAATAGCTTCGTAAGCTTCCTCAGTATGACATGTACTTGCACAGTGGTTGATATCTGCATACTG